AAGGACCAGCATCAAAACATACCTAACCAGCATATGCTGTTTTTTCTATAAAATCACTATCACTGATGCCAAAAAAAGACTTGGAACATAAAAATAAAAATCATAATTAAGAACAACAACATCATCAGTATATGTCATCCTTTTCAAGCCAATGGCAATGCATTAACAGCTGTCAATGACCAGAACATTCTGTGATGAGTGGTGTACTTACCTGAAACAGTGAAATTGCACAAATAGTTACAAGAATCACTATCCTAACGTCTACTTTGGGAGCAAGTCTTCTCCTGTAGTAGGTGTAGTAGTGGCTGTAGTATTCCTCTGGGTGGTCCAGCATGTAGTCATAGTCCTTACGTAATTCTTCATCCTGAAAGTCACAATATTAGAGATCAATTTAGCTGTTATGACTAAAGCCAAGAACACACACTACACAATTGTCAGGCCGATTAGGAATGTAATTTGGTCTTGACGATGGATCGTCCCCCGTTGGACCGGGTCTGTTCCAGTTGGACTCAGTCTCTGTTTGCAGTCGGCAGAAAGTCATATAATGTCCTCTCTAACTGTCAAAGACTAGAATCTGCTCTCCAGTCGATGGTAACTGTCTTTTAGTGTATTGAGGTCAGTCTTAGAATGTTTCCGCTAGTCGTGTAGTGCGTCCCCAGCTTGAGTATGTACCATGTCTTTAAATTGCAAAACAAAAGTTGCTGGATTGACAAAGCCTTGAGAACCAACAAGATTTTACGATAGACAATATTCATTAAATTAACATTAAACAAGATAAATAAATGCATGATTTATGATAAATGTATATAATCTTGTTGTAATGCGTTTTTTTTTTTTTATCATATGCACCATTATACAATTGTTTGCCCCACCGCTTTTGCAGTAACGTTAGTAGTGATTGGACAGGGAAGGTTTGTTGTAATAACTGAGATAACCTGGGATTATTGGATCTCAAGCACCACCAAGGAAACTACTAATGAAGTTAGTAACCCAGTTAACAATTTTTGATTCCCAGAACGTTTTTTATGGTTTGTTTTTGGTTAGCAAGGAAAGTTTTCTTAACATTCCCAAAACGTTACTGTAACGTTAATATAACATTCCCAGAACGTTAGTTTTTGGTTCCCATAACGTTATTATAATGTTCCCCTAACGTTAGTTTTTGGTTCCCAGAACGTTATTCTAACATTCCCCTAACGT